TAGGGTTTCCCAAGGCAAAGTGGTCTCAGGCGAGGGGCCAGACTAAGAATGGTTCACCAAGACCCCATGAAAGATAGAGGGAAAAGGAGCGAGACCCTGCCTGGAGGAAGCCCAGGGCCCTCGTCTGGAGCCAGGCCCAGACGGCGGGCTCGAAAGCGAGTGTCTGGTGGCCGGGTTTGCCACGGAGCCCGGCCGGGCACAGCCCGAACGAGATACGTGGCATCTCTCTCCTCTCCATCCTGTGGGCCCACCACTCACAGGAACAACCGCAGGGGTCGGGTGCGCTGTCATATGGGTGACAGTGAAGGTGGGGGGTCTCGACGGATCAGACCCGGGCGGCAGAAGCTTGCTTTGGGGACGTGGAACGTCACCTCACTGGGGGAAGGAGCCAGAACTTGTGCGTGAGGTGGAGCGATACCAGTTGGATCTGGTGGGACTTACCTCTACGCACAACCGTGGCTCTGGAACCTTACCCCTGGATAGGGGTTGGACTCTGTTCTTCTCTGGAGTTGCCCAGGGTGAGAGGCGGCGGGCTGGTGTGGGGATACTCACGAGCCCACGTCTGAGCACGGCGGTGTTGGAGTTTACCCCGGTGGATGAGAGGTTTGCCTCCCTACGCCTAAGGGTGGTGGGGGGGAAAACTCTGACTGTTGTTTGTGCTTATGCACCAAACAGCAGTTCGGAGTATTCAGCCTTCTTGGAGACCCTGAAGGGAGTCCTATATAGGGCTCCAGTAGGGGACTCCATCATTCTGCTGGGAGACTTCAACGCACATGTGGGCAACGATGGAGACACCTGGAGAGGCGTGATTGGGAGGAACGGCCTCCTGATCTAAACCCGAGCGGTCGTTTGTTATTGGACTTCTGTGCTAGTCATGGATTGTCTATAACAAACACCATGTTCGAACATAAGGAGGCGCATAAGTGTACATGGTACCAGAGCACCCTAGGCCGAAGGTCAATGATCGATTTTGTGATCGTATCGGCTGATCTAAGGCCGCATGTTTTGGACACTCGGGTGAAGAGAGGGGCAGAGCTGTCAACTGATCACCATCTGGTAGTGAGTTGGATCAGAGGGTGGGGAAAGACTTTGGACAGACCAGGTAAGCCCAAACGGGTGGTGCGGGTGAACTGGGAACGTCTGGAGGAGGCCCCTGTCCGAAAGATCTTCAACTCACACCTCCGGCGGAGCTTTTCAGGCATCCCTGTGGAGGTTGGGGGCATTGAACCTGAGTGGGCAATGTTCAAAGCTTCTATTGCTGAAGCTGCGGCGGTGAGCTGTGGTCTCAAGGTCCTAGGTGCCTCAAGGGGTGGTAACCCTAGAACACCGTGGTGGACCACGGTGGTCAGGGAAGCTGTCCGACTGAAGAAGGAGGCCTTCAGGGATATGCTAGCCCTGGGGACTCCGGAGGCAGTTGCAGGGTACCGACAGGCCCGAAGGGCTGCAGCCGCTGCCGTGTCAGAGGCAAAACAGCGGGTTTGGGAGAAGTTTGGAGAAGCTATGGAGAAGGACTTTCGGTCGGCACCAAAATGCTTCTGGAAAACCGTTCGGCACCTCAGAAGGGGAAAACGGGGAACCATCCAAGCTGTGTACAGTAAGGATGGGACACTGTTGACCTCAACTGATGATGTGATCGGGCGCTGGAAAGAGCATTTTGAGGAGCTCCTGAATCCGACCTACACGCCCTCTAGTACAGAGGCAGAGCTGGAGGCTGATGGAGGGTCATCGTCAGTTTCCCTGGGGGAAGTCGCTGAGGTAGTCAAACAACTCCACAGTGGCAAAGCCCCAGGGACTGATGAGATTCGTCCAGAAATGCTAAAAGCTTTGGGTGGGGAAGGGCTGTCTTGGTTGACACGCCTCTTCAACATTGCATGGAAGTCTGGGACAGTGCCAGAGGAGTGGCAGACCGGGGTGGTGGTTCCCCTCTTTAAAAAGGGGGACCAGAGAGTGTGTGCCAATTACAGAGGTATCACACTCCTCAGCCTCCCTGGTAAAGTGTACTCCAAAGTGCTGGAAAGGAGGGTTCGGCCAATAGTCGAACCTCAGATTGAAGAGGAACAATGCGGTTTTCGTCCTGGCCGGGGGAACCACGGACCAGCTCTTTACTCTCGCAAGGATCCTGGAGGGGGCCTGGGAGTATGCCCATCCAGTCTACATGTGTTTTGTGGATCTGGAGAAGGCGTATGACCGGGTACCCCGGGATCTTTTGTGGGAGGTGCTGCGGGAGTATGGGGTGAGGGGGTCTCTTCTCAGGGCCATCCAATCTCTGTACGCTCAAAGCATGAGCTGTGTCCGTGTCCTCGGCAGTAAGTCGGATTCGTTCCCGGTGGGGGTTGGCCTCCGCCAGGGCTGCGCTTTGTCACCAATCCTGTTTGTAATATTCATGGACAGGATATCAAGGCGTAGTCATGGGGGGAGGGGTTCCGTTCGGTGGGCTGATGGTCACATCACTGCTTTTTGCGGATGATGTGGTCCTGATGGCCTCATCGGTCGGTGACCTTCAGCACTCACTGGATCGGTTCGCAGCCGAGTGTGAAGCGGCTGGGATGAGGGTTAGCACCTCTAAATCTGAGGCCATGACTCTCAGCAGGAAACCGGTGGAGTGCCTACTCCGGGTAGGGAATGAGTCCTTACTCCAAGTGAAGGAGTTCAAGTACCTCGGGGTCCTGTTCGCGAGTGAGGGAACAATGGAGCGGGAGTTTGGTCGGAGGATCGGAGCAGCGGGGCGGTGTTGCATTCGCTTCACCGCACCGTTGTGACGAAAAGAGAGCTGAGCCGAAAGGCAAAGCTCTCGATCTACCGGTCAATCTTTGTTCCTACCCTCACCTATGGTCATGAAAGCTGGGTCATGACCGAAAGAACGAGATCGCGGGTACAAGCGGCCGAAATGGGTTTTCTCAGAAAGGTGGCTGGCCTCTCCCTTAGGGATAGGGTGAGAAGCTCAGTCATCCGAGAGGAACTCGGAGTAGAGCCGCTGCTCCTTTGCATAGAAAGGAGCCAGTTGAGGTGGTTCGGGCATCTTGTAAGAATGCCACCTGGGCGCCTCCCTAGAGAGGTGTTCCAGGCACGTCCAGCTGGGAGGAGACCTCGGGGAAGACCCAGGACTAGGTGGAGAGATTATATCTCCACACTGGCCTGGGAACGCCTCGGGATTCCCCAGTCAGAGCTGGCTAATGTTGCCCGGGAAAGGGAAGTTTGGGGTCCCCTGCTAGAGCTGCTACCCCCGCGACCCGAGCCCGGATAAGCGGTTGAAGATGAGATGAGATGAGATGACTATAGGAAATGAAAAACGATCAACTTTGGCTGATGTAAGTACAAAATTATCGTGTTTTATCGCTTTGGTTGAAAAGTGTTTACAACAATGATGACGTCATCGACGCCATTAGCAGTCTTTTCAATTGCTAATAAAATGGTCTGTGTTTTAGCTATTTTAAAACGGAAAACGTTGTTGGAAAGGGGAGATTCTAACAATATAAGCATCTAGTATATTATTAAACGGACGTTTTTGAATTTGCGATCTTTGTGTAGAGGTTGTAATGGTTGCTTAGGGTACTGCAAATATCCCTAGTGGTTGTATAGGGTACTGCAACGATCCCTCCCGCGGGACGCCTGTCAAGAAATGGTTAACTCTAAATTAAATTCTAGAGTGAATTAACCTTAAAAATGCTGGACAATCATAACCCTCAAGCCCTCGGGTCCGGAGCGTAGGATTCCCCCTCACTGCCGCGGACAGGGCTGGAGACTGGCGAATTAATGTAAATGATTGCAACTTTCCAAAACCGCAATGATCTCTCGGAAACGAGGAGTCCATAGCACCAAAAAGGTAGTGTCTCTCTCTCTCTAACAGTCAGGTGACTTTCCCGCGACTCGGAGGACAATCCGCGGTCGCGAAGTCGTACGCGACAATTTCCGCCAGCTAAAGGTCTCGCGGGGTCGTGCCCGGATAAATGGACGCCGTCTGTTCGTCCCGCTTGAAGGTAATGCTTTTGGGAAAAATAAACAAGAGAGCAATCAGAGTCAAATTGCTTCAGCCGCTGTCCTTGGGTCCTCGAAACGTGCTCCCTTGCCCCTCGCCGCTGCCCTCGTGGTCGCGGGAGACCCGAGCTGAAGGAAACGCGCTGGCCTCTGCCCTCGCCGCTGTCCTCGGTCCTAACCACCGAAATACACTCCCATCGCCCTTGCTGCGGCCTTCGGTTCGCGGGAAACCAGAGCGAAACACGCTCGCCGCCGTCCTCGTCTCCTCTTGACCCGCAGCAAGGTCTAATAACGCTGCGGCATTGGCCAGGTCTCGCGTCACATGTGCATAAGCCATAGCCTCTGCCGCAGGAGCCGCGGTAGCTGCGACGCGACAGCGTTTCTCGGCCGAACAGGCCCTGTAGCGGATCTTGGCGTGCGAGGACGAGGGGATCGAGGAGGACGTGTCGGAAGAGGAGAACGCCTCGGAGCACGACGCCTCGGACAAGTGCGGCCACGACGGAGAAACACGAATGTGCTGCTCCTAACGACGCTGCACGCGGACGCCCTGCTCAGCGACAGCGTGTACGGGAAGCCCGCGGTCGTCCTGGACTACAACTGCAACAAGGGCGGCATGGACAACCTGGACAAGATTGTCGGCATATGCAGCTGCCATTGGATGACCGCGCGCTGGCCCCTTGCTGTATTCCACAACATCCTCTATGTGTCCTCGTACAACGCCTTTGTTATATGGCGCGAGGTCCGCCCAGACTGGATGCCCAGGCGCGTGTTCCTGTAGCGCCTGGGCAAGGTGCTCGTGAGGCCGCTCGTCACAAGGCGCGCCACCCTGCCGCGCACGGAACCGCCCGCGCCGGACAGCCGAGCCAGCAGCAAGAGGTGTCAGATGTGTCCGCCCGAGAAGTCTACTACATCTGCAAAGGCTGCGCTCGGGCCTACTGTTCAATGTGCTCCAACTGGGGCTTTGTTCGATGTGGGACGCTTTGAACGAGGCGCTTTGGTGCTGCGGGCGGGGTCGACAACGATCCGCCTCCAGTGGCGCAATTGGTCAGCGTGTGGCACTTATACGGCAGTGTGCGCGTCGGAGCGATGCCGAGGTTGTGAGTTCGAGCCTTACCTGGGGCAGTTTTTTTTTTGCCCACAATCACATTCCGTCAGCCTTTTAAAACAATTCCTTGCAATTCAGATCACAAAATCAGATCAAAAATATTGCACCACGGGGTTATTGTCGCAAGCAGGTCCTGGGCTTAGTAAGACAAACAGTCAAATAACTATAACAAGAAGTGAAGTTTATTTTACCAAGTAGAAATGGCACACTAAGAATAAAAGATGATAAATGAAAATAAAATAATGCATTTGTCCAGGGATGCCTACTGCAGATCGCACTGCTTGCTGTGGTCGATGCTATCCATAACAGTTTGGGGTTTAATTGTGAATGTTTTTGTGTGAGGTAGTTTAGATTTGCACTCAATAAAAAAAGAACTGTTTAAATCATGCTAGTAGAGGGTTTACAGACTGATAATGTCAGTGTTGTTAAAGTGGTAAATGATTGTTGTAGTTGGAAAAGGCAGACATATATTTGAATATCTACTTATACAGAGGCCCATTTTCAGCCAACAGCAAACCATTGTGTTCCAGTGGCACGTACTGTTTGCAAATCCAAGTGTATCAATTTAGAAGGCATTTTGCTCATTGGAATATTTTAGCAATTATGTTCGCAGAGCTGGAAATTGCTGATTAAAGACGCACTAAACTGGCCTTTTTTATACTAGTTCAGTATCTGCAGCATCAGCAATTAAGGGTTCGATTACACGCTCAAAATGGCCTGAGACAAATACGTTTGTTATGTTTATTCTTTTTTTGTTAAAATGAAAGCAATTCCAAGTAAAACATTTCCAAGAAACTGAAGATCTTGTACAATGCCGAGGACTACTTATTCAGAGTGCAAACTGACACAGACCAGAATAAAAATAAGAGTGGAAAGACCTGGTCCACAGCTGATGAGAGTTGTGGACAAATACATTATTGTTTGAAAATCTGATTCCTCACAGCTCTTTAACTGGCAGCTTTATTAAATTGTACCTTCAAAACATCAGTAATAATGTCAACATTGATGAGGCGAAGCCGAGGTCCTGGCCTTTTAGGCAGTTGTAAAAAAAAGCATTATCTCAGGGCAATAAACAATGAAGATTTAGATTGGCTAAACAACACACACACTGGACAGAGGAAGATGGGAGACTCTGTCAATCATGGTGGAGGCAATGTGATGTTCTGGGGGTGCTTTGATGGTGGTAAAATAGGAGATATGCAAATGGTAAAACATTTCCTTAAAGTAGGAAGACGATCAGTACATTTTGCTTTCCCATGCCCTAAGCTAAAGACGATGCTTGAGCCAATGTCCTCCTACAACAGGACAATGACAAAGCAGAACTCCAAACTATGCAAGAACTATTTGGGGAAGAATTATGTCTTTAAGGGAGTGGCCAGCACAGTCACCGGATCATCAACCCCATTGAGCTGTTGTGGAAGCAGATGGACCGTTTGGTAAGTAAGAAGTGCCCATCAAGCCACTCCAACTTCTGGGAGGTGCTTCAGAAAGAATGGGGTGAAATCACTTCAGATTACCTCAACAAATTAACATCTAGTATGTCAAAGGTCTGCAACACTGAAATTGCAGCAAAAAGATTATTTTTTGACAGAATTGAAGTTTCAAGGGCACAATTATTATTTAAATTATTTAAATTAACCTTGTCATGATTAGATTTCCTATTGAAACTAATTTCATGTATGTTTTCATGGGAAACAAGGACATTTCTAAGTGACTCCAAACCTTTGAACTGTGTGTGTGTGTGTGTGTGTTTTTATCATATAAGCGACTGTTTCCGTGCCAATGAAGCCCTTCAAATTGAAATGAAATTGAATTGAGAGAGGGAGGAAGGGAGATCGAAAGAGGAGCGAGGAAAGAGAGTACTAAAAACAGGGTGGAAAAGCATGAGATACATAATAAGTGAGCGCAATAAAGACTGTGAGAGAGGTATGGGAAAGAGAGGGAAAGACGAGGATAGATCCAGTGCATAGTTGTTCTATTCAACGCCGACACAGATTATAAGCTCATTACACACAGGTCCAGGGTCTTCTTATCTTAGGAGAGCATTAAACTAGTGATTAAATTAAAACCTAAAATGATTTTACTTCATTAGGTGTGTGTGTGCTCGCGCATGAATGCCTGTCTGGCTGCGTCCATGTCTGCCTGCGTGCATGTCTGCCTGTGTGTCTGTCTGCCTGCGTGCCTGTCTGCTTGCCTGTCTGCCTGCGTGCCTGTCTGTCTGCCTGCCTGCCTGTCTGCTTGCCTGTCTGCCTGCGTGCCTGTCTGCCTGCATGCCTGACTGCCTGCATGTCTGTCTGTCTGCCTGCGTGCCCATCTGCCTGCTTGTCTGCTTGCCTGCGTGCCTGTCTGCTTGCGTGTCTGCTTGCCTGTCTGCCTGTCTGTCTGCGTGCCTGAATGCATTAATATATGGTTTTATCTGTCCGTGTGTATGTGCATGCATGTCTGCCTTTATGTATATTTCCATGTCTGTGTGAGTAAGGCTCCTGAGGTAACTGGTCTTAAATTAAATCCCTCAGATAATCTCATCAGTCAGTGTGTTATATTTCACAGATTATCTCAGGGAAGCACAGAGAGAATAACACATTTATGTTTGGTATACTGAGTATAGAATATTATAGAATATTACAGGTCTTAGATCTAACAGTGTGCGGACCTAGCTGTGTTTCATTCAATCCTGCAGTAAGTAATCTGGTGGAAGTTCAAAGGGGTTTCTGGTGATTTGCTTAAAGGAGGCCCAATTCCGTCTTGTTAGTGACAACGTAGGGTAAACACATTATTTAATGTTGAAGACTTTAAGCCAAGAGGAACTGTAATCCATGATTATGTACTTGAGCTAACCGCCACTTGCTAAAAATCAATGGAAATATCAGTGTAAGTAAGCATGGTCAAAACATGCTTTTTTTTCTCCAAAACACATGAAATTAATGAATATGTGTTTAGATGTTACCATACGTTTTCTTGAAAAAATGCAATTTCTTGCCAGTGGCTAAATCTAACTGAAGGTTGTAATTGCTTTTTAAAGAAAATGTAACCAAGGATTACAGTTTATTGTGGCCTGTATTGAGTAATTCCAGTGTAAAAACCTTCTAACATCAATTAGAACATTTAAAAAATCTCCACTAAGCACATCAAATGTGGATGACATGTACTGAACTGGATTTGTACATGAATTATAAAACTCAACAGTGCTTCTTTGAGTCAGTTAACCCAAAAATGAATAGACGTGATTACAAAAGCTATTGGTCAATTAAATAAAAATAATTAAGCTTTGTCACCATTAATTTGTAATAAATTGACATTTAAAGTAGACTGCACAACACAACAACACAGACAACAAAAGGGTAATAAAAATGTGTTGCCTCTAGATTTTGCCAGGAGATCATTATATATTTGGAAGTGTATATCGTTCAGCCACAGAAACAGCAACAGTTCCCAATCCCAGTCACAATGTAATATGACTTAGCCTTTCTCATAGCATGTCTTACGACAATGTTGCATATCTTCAAAGGTGCTGTGTTTCAGATGCATTATGTGGACAATTGTAACACCATAAGGTTGGAGATGTGTTTGTTCACCGCAATAGAAATGTATGTATCCCTACAGCTCTTCTCTCTTTCTCAAAGCTCAGTTCATGTAACTTCAAACACACAGTGAAACTCTAAAGCAACACACACACACACACACACACACTAAGAGGAGTGCCATGCATCTGTGGAAAGCACAACATCTCAACATTTAATTTTAGCCCTGGGATCAGTCCAAAACCAGTTGCATGAATTAAGGGTAATGAAGAAAATATGCCTTTAAAAGAGTGGGATCTGAGAAAAAGCCTTAGACTTGTGACAACGTGTCTCCCTACAGATTTGCTTACACGATCCACTAAACCCAAGAACTAAGACTGGAATGAACAAAATCATGTTCTGCTTTGGGAAAAAATAAGAAAAGAAAAATCCAGTCGTTTTAATGGGTGGTTTGTTGGCCATCTGTTTAGATTGACTGGTTTGGTACATTCCCCTTTTTGAACAATGCTGCCATTGTATGTTTGCGGTTTTCGATCAATTTTTACATCCTCTACAATCATTTGCGCAAATTAGTTTTTACGTATTTTTCAGATATAATTGTAACATAGGTATAATTTCTATTATGTAACTAAATGAGAACAAAACACAACATTTTGTGCACACATTGCAGGTAATTTGGATCAAGCCTGTCTTGAGCATTTGGCCATAGATTCTCATCCACATCTCATTTCAGTGAAATCAATTAGCAATAACGAGTATTCATCATGTGTGGTTAATATTTTGTACAAAAACATTTTATTTCTGTAGTTCTCAAAATCGATATACTGTTTAATGTTGAAACTAAAATATATAGGTTTACAAAACGGTTCAGTGATTAACCATTAAGATCAGTTGGATTAAGTGTTGGTCAAATGTATTTACGCAAATGAGATGAGAAGCATATCAAAAGTATTGTGAGCATTGCATTGTGAAAGACAATTAATTTATATGAAATGTATTCATTTGATGACACACTGATTAGGTGTTGTGAAAATGTGATTGTGTCATTTTGTGCATTGTACTGTCAATTGAACATGTGATCACATATTTGAAAAAACTGAAAAAACTTTTTGAAGATCTGCTTTGAGTTTTGTACTAACAATTGTGAGGTTTTACCACATAAGATGGCGGTCGGCCCATCGAGGCCTATTCAGGGCTGGACCTGCGGTCCTGGACTGACCCTTTTGGGTTTGACTGTGGGTTCTCTCCCTGTTGCTCCCTTGTTTTGTTTTTGTGTTTCCGTTCGGCACATGTTTGAAAAAAATGAAAAAACTTTTTGAAGATCTGCTTTCAGTTTTGTACTAACAGTTGTGATGTTTTACCACATACTTGTGAAAATAGTACCAAAGCGAATAAAAAAAACTATTGTTGACATGCTATACTGTCACGATTGGTGTGGTGGCGTTGCTACACAGACATATTTCGGTGATGCACTTCCTTGTTTCACTTCCTTGTTT